AAAAAAGAGAAAAAAAAAAAAAAAAAAAAAAAAAAAAAAAAAAAAAATTTATTGATGTGGGAGGGTAGGGAGGATAAAATATTTCACATTTACAATAAATAAAATAAAATTAAAAATATAAAATAATAAAATAAAATATTTCATATTTACACCTCTCTATTTCTTACATTATGTAAAGCATTCAAAGGTAGGGGCTGCAGTGGTCTCATTCTGCTATACTCTTCTCAAGGCATCTACTGTAACATTTGACATAATTATTTGCATAAATCTTTCAACCCTAGAAATGTCTTAAGAGATCAATACTGACTCTATTTTGAGTGACTGCTATGGATGAAATATATTTCATCCAAAATATATGGATGAAAAAACATTTAGTTGATTGTTTCGATTAATACAAATTTTGAGCACATACCATATAGAAGCAACCCTACAAACTCTGGAGGAAAACAAAGATGGATAAGACATGATATCTGTTTTCATAGATCTCATAATCTATTGGGAGAGACAGATTGAGAGACTACTCACAACAAACTGGCACAAAACGGTCTACATACCTACTATAGAACAAAAGCACAAACACTAAACAGAGGCAAATTTTTTTCTTTTAAATCAAAGTTCTTTGAAATCTTAAGCCTAAATTCTTTCTTTCCATAGTCTTTGATCAGCAATGTGCTTTGAAATCCCAGGACCAGGAGCCAGACCAGCCAGAATCCTGAGTAGTCAAGAGCTTTAAGACCTTAAGGCCAGAACCCAGTATCACCCCAAAACTCTGGAGAGGAAAGTACACTGAAATTACAAATTCCTGGTCCTTTCTCTACCTTCTGCCTGACTGGAACATCCTTTGAGATCATAAGCTTGGCTTCTTTGTCTACACACAATCTTTGAAGGTGCTCACATGTACCAATTCGCCTGGCATACTGTCAATTTATATCTTTTGCTCCAGTGTAATTATGATAACCCCTTTCCTCTCTGATTTGGATGACAAATTATACAGTCACAGAACTGATCAACAAAGTATTCTGCAGTCCCAAGCCCAGGATCCTAACTACCCACAATTCTTTTTTTTTTTTTTTATTCAACCCACATTTATTTATTTATTTTTAAACATCTTTATTGGAGTATAATTGCTTTACAATGGTGTGTTAGTTTCTGCTTTATAACAAAGTGAATCAGCTATACATATACATATATCCCCATATCTCCTCCCTTTTGCGTCTCCCTCCCACCTTTCCTATCCCACCCCTCTAGGTGGTCACAAAGCACTGAGCTGATCTCCCTATGCTATGCAGCTGCTTCCCACTAGCTATTGATTTTACATTTGGTAGTGTATATATGTCCATGCCACTCTCTCACTTCGTCCCAGCTTACCCTTCCCCCTCCCCGTGTCCTCAAGTCCATTCTCTACGTCTGCATCTTTATTCCTGTCCTGCCCCTAGGTTCTTCAGAACACTTTTTTTTTTTTTTTAGATTCCATATATATATGTTAGCATACGGTATTTGTTTTTCTCTTTCTGACTTACTTCACTCTGTATGACAGACTCTAGGTCCATCCACCTCACTACGAATAACTCAATTTCGTTTCTTTTTATGGCTGAGTAAAAAATATGGAACACTTCATGAATTTGCGTGTCATCCTTGCGCAGGGGCCATGCTAACCTTCTCTGAGTCGTTCCAATTTTTAGTATATGTGCTGCCGGAGCGAGCACCACAATTCTTAAGTAATAAATTATTCTAAGATCCAAATTTCAGGGTTTTTTTTTCTATCCACATACTCTATCACCAAAAAGGTATTTGTGTGCAAAAGTCAATATTTTCATAAGTGATTACAGCTGAACATTAGCTGATAACTATTTTATCTTTTGATGCCACTGGAAATACGGAGACAGCAAATAAACTAAAGTGAGATCAATATATATTTGAATGTGTGCACCTTGAAATCCACTACGGATAGCTTAAAAATACCATTTATATATGTTATACCTGTTTATTGGTATCAGCTACGGTTTCATCCTGAAGAAACTCACTTGGTACCTCAAGTTTTATTAAAAAACGAGCTAAATATGCTCTTTTCTTCAGTTCATTAGTCCTCTGAAGAAGCCAGTGGAGCACTGGGTAAATCACAGGTTTACTTCCAATCACCAGACCCTGACGAAAGTTACTCCTATAAAAAGAAAATAAACACACACACACACAGAGGCTTGTAAGTAAACCTTGAAAAGAGGTAACATTTGCTCAAAATCCAATTTACAATTTCCTGATTGCTTTCTATGATTATTTTAAAAAGATAAAACCAAGGCTAATCTAAAGTCAGTCTGCACATTAACAATAATCATAAAATTAGGCCTTTAATATATCACTGGAATATACAGGGAGGTTGTTTTGGAACCATTAACCGGTACAGTCAGCCTAAATACTTCACTTCATTGACTGGACAGGTTTAAGTCATTGTTTTTGTCTAGGATGGCAGATAAATGATAAAATGGAATCATGGATTTGCCTGACTTTTCTGATTAAGAGAAAGAACTGACTCACTTAAGACTCCTGCATGACAAAATAACATTAAGAATTCAAGATTATTTTGAAATTCAGTGATTTTCTGAGGCCACTGACTTAGGGAAGACAGGTATTGCCAGAAAGACTGACTGTGAAGGTTTGGATATTAAAGCACAGCTCTAAGAAAGCAACACTTGATCAGATTCTTACATGTCCGTGGCATTTCCTGGAGGTTTGTATTTAAGGATACCAAGAAGGCTCAACATCCTTTTGGCTGTCTGCTCTGGCATCTCCTCTCTGATATCAACAACTTGCTAACAAAGAAATTGAAAAAATGTTATTATTGTATATCTAACAAAGTACAATATTTAAACTCACTGACAAAATTGTTCTGCTAGAGCATAACAGTCACAATGGTCTCTTCAAAAACAGATTAAGTATGGAGGCCCCCAGATTCCAAGTGAGGGTACATACAAGTACAATCAGGATTCATATTAAGGAGGTCAAGCTTAAAAAAGTCTCAGTGGAAAAGACCAGTGTATGAGAGACATGAGCCAACTTGCAACACAATAAAACCTTTCGTAAAAGCATCTTCATTCCAGGACCAAATCTATTTATGTTTGGAAGTAGACAAATAATTTCTAAATAAGGTACAAGTAGATAATTTAGTTTTTGAGCTATTAAGAAACCTTAAAGATCATCTACTATCTATAGCTTTACGGGCATGGAAAATTAGGCCCAGAGAGGTTAAATAATTTGCCCTAGACGCACAGATATTTAGTGGCAGAAACTGGCCTTCTTGCCACACTTTTCATCACAGAGAAAAAGAAAACTCTTACCTTTGGGTCAATCTCAGCCAGAACATCACTGAGAACTTGTAATAGTTGCATTGGCTCCAGGGAATCAAATGTGATTAAGTTATAGTTCTTCCTAAAAGGCTCCTTATTGAGATTGTCCACGATGAATTTGATTTGATCACTCATAATTAGGTCTTATAATTTATACTAAAGAGTAAAAATACAGAAAAAAATTCCTCAATATTGGTAACAAAAGTTCTGTATTAACAAAATACAGTCAACAGAAAGTCAGTATTAAGTTCATAGGAAGTAGGCATGGGAAGTATTCTACATGGCATATAAAATGCTGTGAAGGGGTTATTTTGTTGAAAGACAAAGAGTATGCAGACTTTATTAGGAATGCTACAGTACATACTGTTAATATTTAGTGACGTGTTTTGGTATATGCATCTGATAGCAATCATCTGAATTAACATTGAATTAATGTGGACAAATGAATACAAAATCCACCGACATTAACATTTCTCCCACTCAGCTTCACAATTTCTACCTAGAGGTAAAAACTTGTTAGCCTGTAAACATGCTTCTAATATATATATTTTTTTAATTAGCAGCCCACATTAATCCAAATTACCAATTTCTCTGGAAAATCAGATCTGGCAACTTTGGACCCACTAGGTACATGGCCACAACCACCTGAAGCTGGGTAGAGGCTGCAAGCTTCAGCCTTGAGGGTGCGCTCTTTGGTTTTATTTTGTTTCCTCCACCAGGTACTCTTCACACATTGATGCATCAACTCTGCCACCCTTGAGTAATTAAGGCCTTCATTTCCTTTGCCTTCAATAGTTCCAGTCTCTGCCTCTCCCATTCCAAATCATTTTGTAGGCATCTCATTGCCTACAAAATAAAGTCCAAACTTCTTGGATTTTGAGACCCTTTAAGAACTAGCTCAATTTACAGTTTCTCAATATTATTTCCAATTGTTACCTTACACCCTTTCAAACTTCAGCTGACTGAAATAAGCACTGCTCCCTAAATAGCTTTTCCGTCTCTGCCTTCAGTTAATGCTGTTTTTTCTGCCTAGGACTGTTCTCCCTTTCCCCCGTCTCCAGAGGTGCAAATCCTAACCATGTTTCAAGCCCTGTCCTCCAAATCCAAGTTCCTCTAGGAGACCTTTCTCAAGCTATCCCCCAGTTCTGCATCAGAATAGCAGCATTTGCCCTCCAAGCTGACCACTTTATCTGCACTGCTCTCCTGGAGTTACTTTTCTGTTTTGTACTAGTTACTTACCGACAGTTTCTCTTCTCTACTAAACTGTAAATTCCATGAGGACATATCTGTGCCTAATTCTATCTCTGAATATCCACTGCATCTAAAACAGTGACTTCTTCCACTAGACTGAATTTGTTCACAGGCCCAAGGCCAGAAAATAAGCATAAGCCTAAACAGAGTGGCAGTGAGGAAGATCATAACTTTTAAAAAAATTGATTACCTGATTATTTAACTGCTGAAACAGTTTAAACAAGGCTATTAGTGTTTCTTGCACACAGATATCACTTGTTGAGTATGGGAAAAAGTGGTAGAAATTTGCAGACAGGCAATTTTTTAGAGTAGCTATTTTTAAAAATGAATTAAAAAATGAACTACTAAAAAAAGAAATAAAGAGGGCTTCCCTGGTGGCGCAGTGGTTGAGAGTCCGCCTGCCGATGCAGGGGACACGGGTTCGTGCCTCGGTCCAGGAGGATCCCACATGCCGCGGAGCGGCTGGGCCCGTGAGCCGTGGCCGCTGGGGCTGCGCGTCCGGAGTCTGTGCTCCGCAACGGGGGAGGCCACGGCAATGGGAGGCCCGCGTACCGCAAAAAAAAAAAAAAGAGAGAAATAAATACTTCAGTGCTCTCTAATAGCTCCTAACCATGAAATGAAGAGATGCTATTTTATTTAAGACATTCATTGGAGCTGCATGCACCTTGCTCTGAAATAGGTTTTTTAAAGTGGGTGGGTGGAGCTAGATACCTAACATTGAAATGTAAAAATATTTTCATTTCCTCATAAGTATGATAAAATTATGAGTAAATGATTATTTTTGAAAAATAAGCCAAAAGATGGTAGAAAAGATAACCAATGTGGCTTAAAATTTTGAGGTTTCCTCCATACTGTTTCCTTTAAGCTATAAAAGGAAAACTTTATATAAATGAAATAAAAATCCACACTGGAGATGCAAATTTTCCACTGTTGAAAGTATTTTAAGTATAAGTCCACGTCACAACCTTCACACACAGATATATTAATTTTTAACTCTTTAGAAATTATATACATGTAGAAATTACACATACACAAAATGTAACATATACACACAGATGTATATTCTTTTTTCCCTTCCCAAAACCAGAATACTTGGACAAACAAGTAAAACGTTCCCAGGAGACAAAGATGTACTGAACAGGTAGGTTGTCTGTGCCCAGTGGGCTCTGCGATCTAAAATTAGCAAAAGCAATCACTCTCCCTCTTCCAAAGGAAAGTCGCCACACTAATTCACAAGCACTCACCCACATAAGAACCCGAGAGGGTGGGGGAGAAGAACTGAAACCAGGACATGCGTTTATCTGGCACAACTCGGCACAGAAACGACGCTGCCCTGGTCCCAGGCTGGCACGCACGCTGGACCAGCAGCCTCCCAAGATTCCCCAAAATAGTATCTCCCCCACCCCCTCACGCCCCGGGGCTCGCGAGAGCGGACAGAGGACCCCACGTCAGACCCAGGCACCTCGCGAGGGCTGCTCTGGGCTCCCCGGCGGTTCATCCCGCGGGAGAGCCGCCCGGATCACTGCGAGGCACCACAGGGGCCGACCCCCGATGTTGGGGTTGAACTGCTGCTACCCCTCCGTTCTCGAGGTGCTGCACTGGGAAGGGGAAGGAGTTCTCTCCTACTTAGGGGTTTGGGGGAGCTTCCGACCGCGGCTTGGCGAAGTTACCTCAAATTCTCCTCACGAAACCACTTCCCCCCCCGGAGGCATCCGGGCTCTAGTGAGTTCCTAGAGACGAGCTCCTTGGCAACGGTTGCTAGGCCGTGGACACATCACTTCCGGGGGCGGGAGGTTCGGCGCGTTTCCGCGAGGCCCCGGGCGCGCGCTCTGTGGCCAAGGCCCTGGAGGCGAAAGGCGGAGGGAGGGGGGCCCACCTGCAAACTGGGTTCACAGGCTCTGAGCCACTGCGGACAGCTTAGAGAGTTGGGGGTTGTTACCGTGGCAATAAACTTTCCCAAGCGTCCTGCAGTTTGCAGTTTACGAAACACTCTCTTCGTTTTTCACCCATGTTAATTTAAATTCGTATGCTCTTTCCTCCTTCCCTCCTTCCTGCTTTCCTTCCCTCCTTCCTTCACCAAACATCGGTGATGACATCTTCGAGGCAGGGCCAGTGGGATTTGGGTTGAGAAAGCATTTGGCCTGGACTTCAAATTTAGATTTTTGACATAAGTATCTCCAAATTAGGTTACACGTAGGAACAATTGTAGTCTCTTCTGTGAATTGTAGATTAACAGAAGGCACATTCATCATAGAGATGTCAGCTTCTTTGTCACATTATTGGGCCACATAGCCCGTACTGGGAATTAATTTTTTTCATCCAGAGTTTCTTTAATATTCTGAGAGCCTAAAAAAAAAGGAAATGGCCTAAGGCTCTCTTTGGCTTCTGAGAGTCTATTTTTAGGCACCTGCAGAAATGAATATAGTTCTTACATTTTCATGCGGTTCACGTTCTACGAGGTAGGCGTGGGGGGCGGAGATCTTCATGTCTAGATCACAGAGGAGGCCAGGAAGACTGGAGCCGAGAGAATCCCGGGACTGCACTAACTGGCTTCAGGGGAGAGTTTAATTGATGAATGGTATTTTGAACTGCCCCTATTAGGGTGGAAACCACTGTACTCCGTGATGTCAGCTGGCAATGGAGAAATGAGAAGAAAAAAAAATGAAATTCCTCACACCCTGAAAACTTAGTTGCCTGCTCAAACATCTTGGAAGAAACCAACTACAGATTTAGCATCAGACTTACAAAATAAAGCAAGACAAAACAAAAAAAATTCCATATTAGGCATCTCCTGTAGGCCCTGCTCCTTGCTGGCTGCTGGGGATGCAGTGGAAGGCAGGGAATTACCTGGCCCCTGTCCTCACGGAGCTGACAGTCTATGCAAGAAGAGAGACAATTGAACAGGCAACACCAATATAACTATGACAAATGCTATAAAGAAGGACCCAATGATGGGAGAGTCCAGATGAAGGGTCACAAGTTTATTTGGAGCTGAAGGGATTGTACTGTTAGGAGAGGTTCCATCGGACAATGTGACGTTTAAGGGTTAGTAAAAATTAGCCAAACAAGAAAGGGGAGAGTTTTTTGGGCAGAGGGAACAAAACATTCCAAGATGGGTACATTGCTGGCTGCAGGGTGCTTGGAGAGAAACTAAGACAGGTCCCAGCTCACAGATGCTCAAGACTAGTTGGAGGAGGCAACACTTAAAACCTTGAAAAATTAAATAACTCTGAGAGAAACAATAAAAGATGCAAACAAGGGATTATATAATTACTTGATCCTATTGGGTGTGTTATGTTAGGAGATTCTCCTGGCTCCCTGGATTTGGGTATTGGATTGCCATTGTATGGCCTCACTTGAGATTTCTTTTCCTCATCTCTAAAATGTGGCTATAATAATACGAGGATTACATGAGTTGATATGGGTTTAGCGATTAGAACAGTGCCCGATACTGGAAGAGCTAAGGACATTTTACCTTTTTTGTCCCCTTTTTTAAAAAAATGAGATGGTTAGATTTGCTCCTTCTATAGTCTAAAGATGTCAGCTATACAAAGGTAAGAGTGGCTTTTCTAGTAGTTTTTAGTTCCTCCTCTGCCTGTTGCTGCTATTACAGTTACAAGAACGTGTCAATTCAAGTAAGCAATGGAATCTACTCTTTGCACTCAAACTTGATTTTGTGCTTAATGTGATTGCTCTGGAACACAGGAAAGAATTGGAAGCCAGTCTGCATGCTTCCTGGGATCCATATACTGAGAAGCTTATATTCCAACCTGAAGCAAAGAAGAGAGACATTGAGCAGCCTTGCACATGTTGGGTCCCTGCCTATCTATCAGACCCACACACAGACCAAAGGAAGACTTGTAACCACCCCTTGATTCATTTAAGATAAAAAGATTCATTGAGGTATCCAAGAAGAGCAACAATTTCACAACAGTGGAGGCATTGCTGAGTACATCCCAAGTTTAGCCACACACACGAAGGCTTTTTTTTCCTTAGATGCTTTACTGAGTCTTCCTTGTAAACCCCCAAAGCTGCCTCTTGGCTGAACTATAGTTGACACTTTTAACAGGTGAAGGGAAGTCTCAGTCATGTGAGACAGCCTCTCTGAAAGATTCCCACTCCTACCCTGACTCTTTTTTTAATACCTTATTAAGATATAATCCACATACATACAATCCACCCATTTAAAATATACAATTCAGTTGCTTTTAGCATCTTTACAGAGTTGTGCAACCATTACCACTATCTAATCCAAGAACATTTCGTTACCCCAAAAAGAAACCCCATTCCCTTTAGCCATCCTCTCCCAGTTTGCTTAATGTGATTAAGCAAACCCACCATCACTTCTCAGCGCCTGGCAACCATTAATCTGCTTTCCTTCTTTATGGACTTGCCTTTTCTGGACATTTCATATAAATGGAATCATAAAATATGTGGCTCTTTGTGTCTGGCTTCTTTCACTTAGTTGTAATATTTTCAAGGTTCATCCAAGTTGTAGCACATATCAGTACTTCATTCCACTTTATGGTAGAATAATATTTCATTGTATGGATTTTTGTTCATTTATCTATTAATAGACATTTGGATTGTTTCCACTTTGGGGCTATAAAAAACAGCGCTGCTATGAACATTCATGTACATAACTCCACTGTCTCATGGATAAAGCACTTCCATTAGCTAAGTCAGGTAAGCAGGGTATGCACATCAGGGACATGGGTAAATGGAGGGGTGGCCTTTCTTGGATTTGTCTTTTCCTTTCAATTCTTGTTAATTTTGGCTTCTTGGGTGCTCATGGTTGCAGACTATGGGACCTAAGATATGGATTCTTTAGCAGTTTTTGGTTGTAAAATCAGACTGTTGTTGAAACCTACTCTACCCTTGCTACCAAAGCACTAAAATTCCCAATCTGCTTCTCAGCAAAAACCCTCTGATAAGAAAATGCTGTTATTTGGTATTATCCTTTAAATGTTCACCAGCCACCAGTGGAGGAGAAGGTGGGGAGGAGTGCAGAGGAGATGAGAGAGAAACTGGAAGCTGCCCCTTCTAGCTCCCTTATTTAACCTTGTAGATACTGCAAAGACCATCCACAGTTGTGAACCTCTGCTCTGGTTATTCAGAGGGGAAAAAAAAATCACTCCTGGTCAAGTTTATTTTCAAGACTGAGTTTAGTACTAGATAAAAAAATAAGGAGAATGGTCATTATTTCATGTAATTGTAAAGTCCAAGGAAATCATTACCTTCAGATATGGCTTGATCCAGGGGCTCAGTGATGTCATCTTAACTTTCTTTCTCCCTCCATCTTTCTGTCTCTCATCCCCACTTTTCTCTGAATGGGCTGTTAGGAGCAAGAGGCTTACATTCTTCAAGCATAGGATCCTCAATAAAAGTAGAATCTTTGCTTCAATAGTTCCAGCAATTTCCCAGTGCAAATTCTCATTGGTCTGAAATGTGTCAGATCATTCTTGAATCAATTGTTATGACTCTGCTGGACACAGTAATTGATTGGGTAAGGGTGGTTTCCCAAAAGAAAGGGCTGGATTTTCTTACCAGAGGTAGAGACACTGTGCAAACAAGAACAACAGATGTCCCGTTCAGGTGGTCAAGGAAGGTGGTTAAATCTCAAAAGTTGGGTAAGCAAAACCAGAAATGAGTCTGCTTATTGTGGAGAGTTTGTGTGTTAGTGCGAGCCTTCTCCCTGATTTCGTTCCAACAAATTATCTTTCTTCAATGCAGACTTCCATCATGGGCCAAATGAGGTCTTGGGATAACAGCAGACCTTCCAGATCCCTGTAAAAATCTGAGGATGCCATGAACTTAATGTCTCCAGCCCCTTCTCATTTCAGAACTTTCAAACAAGAACTTTCCTGTGCAGAGTACAGGGAAGCGAAGCCAATTTTCTGTTTTTGGTATTAAATTTAGACCTTTCATCCTGACCATGAGATATTTCTGGATTCTGCATGAGTATTCAGCGAATGCCAGTGTTCAAGATGCTATCCCATCTGGGGCTACTCTGCACACTGCCCACTTTATCTCATTCTTTTAAAACTGGGAAAAATGACCCAGACATAGGAACAAATTCAGAAGTAGGTTATTCCATTATCCATTAATTGTCATTTAATGCCTTTGCCATCTAGGTTATTTGGAGATGAAAGAAATTAAATTTAAACCGAAACCTGAATTGAGCTTTGCAGAGGCCCTAAATTGTCTCTGCTCTGGCGATTTAATCTTCTGGGTATGTTTAGCAGCAGAATGTGCTTTCCTAAAATGCTAAAAGGTAAATAATATGTGAAAAGTTAAACTGAATGGATGGGATTCCAGAGGTCTTATTGAATGCATGCCTGGTACTACATTTTTGTCAAATGGTTTTTTAAAATGGATTTTGTGAGATTAATGGGTAATGTAGAGGAGCCAAAATAATATGCAATTCATATTAGTTCTTTGGTTATAATTATGGGTTGAAATATAGAATGCACCTAACATTCTTACTGTGCTCAAATAATAATTATAGCATCACTTATTGAGCGCTTACTGTATGTCAGGGACTTTGTTAAATAATTCACGTATGTGTCAGAATTTATTAAAATGCTAATTTATGTGTGTACTCCTTCTGTTTCCCCTCCTCTTGAAGCAATTTGCATTGCCTTGAGTTTTACAGGCTGAAATTAGAAACAGTACTTATGCCTTTTGTAAAGGTCTGAAGTCTTTAGAGGAGCTTATACTGGTTGTCCTCAAGGGGGGAGTGGAGAGGAAAGTTCCTATTAGAGTAAGAAGAGAGTAAAGAGATGCTAAGAAGATTAGGAAAGGATCACAGGTGGTAAGTTTGGGGCAGCTCTTGAGGAGGCCACACCATCAGTCCGGTGGCTTCCAGTGTGGCCCAAGCTTTCCTTGTCCCAGGTCTGACATGGAAGCATCAATGCCATTGGACCTAAAAGGACCAGGCAGCCTGGGATGATGGGTGGGTGACCAAGCAATCACCACGATGGGCCATCAGCAGAAGACTGCAAGTGATTCTCTGAGGCCTTGTCACTGCAAAAGAACCCAGAGACTTGCAGCTCCCAGGAAGTGTGTGAGGGAGAGATGCTCAGTAATGACTGGATGGGGGCTCAGAGTTGGATTTCAGTTGATTATAAAATAATATACTTCCTCTAGCAAATCTGAGTTGTGAACTAAAATGGGTGACCTCTGCATCAGTCAGCTTCCTGGCAGGATAAAGATGGCACATTCTGGACAACTGATGAGAGCTTAATAAAGGACTATGTATAAAGGTGTGGGCGGGGTTTAGGGAAACCAACAAGGGTCCAGCAACAAAGGCAGCTATTGCATCCCTAAACCTGAAGCAGCCAGAGAAGGGAACAGGCACCAGAAGCCCAACACAGCAGCTGTATGGAAAAGGTTACCCAACAGGAGCCTTTAGATACAGCCAGTCTTGAACTCACTCTCCTTCCACTCTCTGATCTCCTGCCTGGCCTCCCCTTGGCTAAACCCAACAGGGAACCAAAGGAGCAGGCAACCCCTTGAAGACCATCCATGCAGACTGGCCTCCCAAGGGAGAAAATGGCAGAGTGGGGATCTGGAGGGGCAGATGGACTGAATTATAAATTGAATTATACAGTCAAAATGATGGGCAGGAA